CACCACAGTACTATGCATTCTCAAAACAATCAAGTCTGGCTTCCAGACATGCCTGCTATCGCCAATTATGTAGCAAACTGCTGCCAATAAGCTATTGTTCTGGACAGAGTCAGGAGCCGCCTCAGTTCCCAACTCTACGAGCTAGAACACAAATGAAGAAAATCCAATAGAGTTTCAGTTTTCCCCATAATGATTCATAATAAGTCTCAAAAGTATCAAAAGACATCTTTTCTTCACGCCTTTCTTTGCTGGTTCTTAAGACAGGTCATTTGCTTGTCGCTGCAGCAGTATAGCTCTAATTAGAATATCTCTATTGAGAAGAAACCCATTGTTTTTTCTCTTCTAAAATGTTGGACCTGTGGAATCATGTATAAAAATTACCGTAAGTAGCTCACAAATACCTAATCCCTACATTAAATAATCACTTGTTCTGAAGTCCAGCTTGACTCAAAGTACCTTTGCAACATGGCATTTCTCAAAACAAAGTAGTGCTCTAAAAATACTCAAGCCAAGATGGCATTCAGCAGCAGGGGAGCCCTGGAAAATTCAAAACCACAGGTGTTCCACTCAAAACAGTGACAGCCCCAAGCTGAGCCCTCATCTGGACTCTGACAAAAGCCTATTTTACCATCAACTGAAGCTGCTGGGCTTACAATAGAGCAGGCGGGGTCTGATGCAAACCTGTGGCTTAAACGGTTTGTAAAATTGACTTTCTTCTCATTTCAGAGATTCAGTGTGATTCTTCTAGATTGGTGTACAGTTTGATCATGCTGCCAATTCCCAATTATCAAGCAGCTGATGATCCAATTGTGGAGTAGCCAGGCCAGTTTACAGCCATTTTCCTTTAGTGTACTGCCTGCTTTAAAGAAAAAAAAGATACTCAATCATGCTAGGCAGTAAAACAATTTTGACCTTAAACCAGTGCTTTTAAGGGGCACCTATTTCCACCCTAGAGAACATTTGGCAATGCCTGGAGTCATTTTCTTGTCATAACACTACAACTGAGGTATGTTCAGTCTAAAAGTGTCACAAGTTTTGAGGTTCAGAATCCATGACCCAAGCCTTGAAGCTGATGAGAAAAATGGTTTGACTATTCAGAATGGGACTGCAGCATATGACAGGAATTAAACCCAGGCTTTGATATTTATTATTTCTGTGAACCACTTTCTTCAGCTTTCCATTTGTTTTCCTTGGAAGACAGATTTATTTACTTTGAAGATCAATTCAGTAAAAAAAAAATGAGACTAAGTACACAAATTGTCTTGTAGCACTTGCCAACAGAAGCTGTCAGAGCTTTTACTTACAATGTTATACAAAGCATAGTATTAAAATAGGTAACAGCATTACTCTTTATATGCCACATTTTGCCTTTCTCATCCCATAAATCTTGGAAAATGTTTGGGTACACCTATTTGCTTATTCATTTGTTACATATTAACAAGCATACAGCATGAACTGCAGGAATCATATGTCCTTAAGATTTCAATATAAGAAAGGAGATGAGCTACAAAGAAACAATCATGTTTACAGGTGGAATATGATGGGAGCACAAAGAGCTGTAGTATCTAAGAAAGCCAAAAAGTGAATGAAATGCTGGGACAAACGGTATTATGTGCTATAAGAAACAAGTATTAAATGAGATAAAGGTAAAATAAAAATGGAATAGCAGGTGAATGTTAGTCCAGGTAAAAAAATAAAACAAAAATGGGTAAGCAGCAAGAAAAAACAGATTCGTGTCGCAAATAAGTTGAAAATTAGCTGTAGGTAAGATCTGCTGAGCAAATATTTATGGTGATTCAAATAACTCAGAAAGTGAAATTAAGTTTACATTGATGCAAAAGTTTGAAATCCATGCCCATTTCATGCTTTGAAGACTTCTCATATGAATGGAGTTTCATCTTTATATCTATATAATATCCTTGTATGCATATATTTATAAAATTATAAGCATGTGTCTGAGTTTCTCAAATTCTTGGGGGAAAAAACAGAAAAAAGAAGAATGAGAGAAATAACAATTTTCCATGTCTTAGTCATGTTGCAGTTGAGCCCTAGGTATGTAATTATGACCTAGGGATTTCTAACTCATGTTCTTTCATCTTGAGCAATCTTTGCTAGATAATGTTTGGGGTAATAAGTGAGGAAAAGAAAAAAATCCATTGCAATGGAGCTTTAAGAGCAAGCTAACGTGGTGCTACCTAATTTCCTCATAGCATTTCATTCTCAGTGATACCCCTTGTCTATGGAGAAGAGCGGAATGACAACCCTTAGTAAGTCTTCCATACTAACGCATTCCTCCCGCTTTTCTAAAGGCACGTGAAAAAGCAGCATCTTACAGTTTAAGAACACATTATGTATAAAGCCATTTTTTTTCATTACATTGAACAAGCACATCTACTTTCTTTCCACCTAAAGTAGAAAAAAATTACCGTTATTAAAATCCAGGAATGAAAACCTCCTCTACAGAGCTCATCCTCTAGCACAATACTTACAAAAATGTGACTAGAGGAAAATATTTTACTGTTTCATATCTGTGGGAGGAGTCTGGAGCTCTTTGGATAATAACACAATGCCGTATTTTTCTGCTTGAGGTTTTAATGATAACATTTTAATAAGATATTTAATGGGGCCCACCACAGTAGCCTAGCGGCTAAAGTCCTTACCTCGTACATGCCGCAATCCCATATGGGCAGCAGTTCTAATCCTGAAGGTCTTGCTTCCCATTCAGCTCCCTGCTTGTAGCCTGGGAAAATGGTCAAGGACGGCCCAAAGCCTTGGGACCCTGCACCCACGTGGGAGACTTGGAGGAGGCTCCAGGCACCTGACTTCAGATTGGCTCAGCTCTGGCCTTTGCAGTCACTTGGGAAGTGAATCATCAGATGGAAGATCTTCCTCTCTGTCTCTCCTCCTCTCTGTATATCTGACTTTCCAACATAAACAAACAAACAAACAAACAAATAAATATTTAATGAATAATAACTCAGATTAGAATCCAATAAATCTGATGTAAAATCTTGAGGATGGCACAATCTTTATGCTATAACATACCACCGTGCATTAAGGCAAAAATTCCATTTCTCCAGTTCTAACAACATACAGGCACTGCAGTCCTGTTTTCTCTTGTTTTTAACAAATTGTCACTGTATTCCAAAATCAGAAGATAACATCCTGTCCTATTTTACAATCTATTCTACCCCTTGTGTCCTGTGGTTTATTTATTTTTGCCCAGAGAGCTTCCATAGTCCAGGACCTGGAGAGCAAAGACACTTCTCGGTTGACATACATGGTGTCTGCACCAAATCAGGCTGAACTACAACAGATTTAGCTTCGCTTTTGCTACAGAAGTGATTTTTTTCCCCTGGTCCCTAAAAATATGCTGGGCTTGTGCTCTCTACGATGATAATGATGATTTAGACACTAATTTCCCTGGAATTTCAAATAGCAAGATTCAGGAGGGGGTTATAGAAAGAAGAGTTCTTGGAGTTGCCGCTCCTGTGGTCCAAATGTCACTGCATCGGCAGGTCATTGGGGTCCTGTGGCTCACCCAGCGCAGGGGAGGCAGCTGTCTTATCCTGTTGCCGCAGGGTTGCTAGCTAAAGCCATGGGAGTCTGCCCATGTGACTCACATACCCTGCCAGGCAGCAAAGTGGTGACTTGGCTGCCAGGGAGGAAACAAGACCATTTTACAAGATCAGAGGTAATCTACAGCAAGTGTTGGAAGGCAGAGACCCAGCAATGACAAACTAGACACAAGGGTTGTGATTGTTAGAAGATGGGAACAAGAAAAGCATTAAAGGAAGGCCTAGCTCAAGTCCAACAGCATGAAAGGAATCTAAATCAGACAGAACTGGCCTCTTAGATCTGAAAATTTTGGACTGAAAATATGCTGAAATTAGGGGCCAGCATCTAGTCTACTGGTTAAGATGTCAGCTGGAAGCCTGCATGTGGTTTGGGATCCTGACTCATCTCCTGGTTCCCGTTTCCATTTCTGCAGACTCTGGGAGGGAAAGGAGAGAACACTGATGACTCAGGTACTCTGATCCTGCCACTCACATGGGAGACCTGCATTCAGTTCTGGCTCCTGACTTGGGCCAGACCCATCTGTAGTCACTGTTGGCTTTTGCATCCTGAGCGAGTTCCATTTCTCTCTTTTTTTCCCTCCCTCCCTCCATTATGTCTTTCTGATAAGTAAAAATAAACAGGTACATGTTTGTGAATATGTGTGATTAGTAAATAAATAACCAAAAGGGACTCTTATTTTTTTGCCAGTTGTACAAACATAGAAAGTACCTCCCTCCCCTCCTCTTACTTAGGAATTAAGGTGTTAAACACCCCGGTCAAAGTATAAAATGAAAACTGTCATAGGATTTCAGTAGAACAAAAAATCTATTCATAGCTAAGAACATCTAATCATTTTTAGCTAAATAAATAAATTATTTTTGATATTTTTAAGATAGAGGGAAAACAGGAAAGGAATCCTTAATGAGATGTAGAAATCTCTCAATGTAGTAACTTCTAGGCTAAGGAGCACCTATATTTAACACATGACCAGTCATTTCTCTTAATTTAAGCTCACTTAACATAGATCAGCCCCCTTTTTTGATCTCAGCTGGCTAACCTCACAAGTGTGTGAAGATGAGACTACAGGCTGGGATTGTGTCTGGAAGAATCATATCAATAAACCAAGTGGTGAATTTTCTTACATCAAGCAATATGGAACCCATCCCCCATATAATACACACGGCTGCCCACATGTATTGGCCTATAAGGTTAATGCATAACAAGGAGGTGGCTACACTTGTACAACCTATGAAGTGAAATTTCAGATCACTGTGAAAGTGAAAAACAGTGTATGTGTTTTAATTCTTTCTTGGAAAAGTGGCAGCATCAAATTGCATTAAGAAAATGTTAATATTTTCCCTTACCAATGGTCAACAAATATTTGTCAATGATGAAACTATTCTTTTACCCCAGGCTGAATGTGTATTTCGTTTTTCCTACAGCATTCTGATTCAAAGTACCACCTGAAGAAAAGAATCACCTCTCTGACTTTGCCAATAGTTCCGCCTTCTGAGGCCAGCAAAGTTCTCACTAGAGCACCCATCCTACCGCCAACACCTGTCACACCTCCACCACTCTCACCGACTTTTGGCGACACTAGCAAAATAGACCAGTATTCTCGAATTCTCTTCCCAGTTGCTTTTGCAGGATTCAATCTTGTATACTGGATAGTTTATCTTTCCAAAGATACAATGGAAGCTAGTAACAGCATTGAATAGCTTGTGGGCAGGACAACCTGTATCCTACAAATTCTCATTTCTGCATTTCTAAGAAAATGCCACTGATATGCGTAGATGCTTTGTAGAACATAAAATCAAAACTGAAAAATGTGTAACACATAACTTTGAGTAAACGTGTATGGACAACAAGCAGTAATATCACCCTTCAAAACTCAGTTTAAGGTTATGGAAAAATATGACATTTCTGTACATTAAATATTTTGGAAGATTAAGATGGATTCATGATAAATTTGCTAACCTTTGTCCTTCACTGTTCAATGTTTTTCATTGTCACTCTGAAAAACATTTAACATAAGGCAGATAAAATAAGAAACACTTCCAATGGTTGCCTTAAGTTATGTTTATTCTGGCTTAGTTTCTAAGACAGTAAAATATGAATGCATTCTAAATATTTATCAGTACATTAATATCAGCATGTTGGAGGTCTTTATGCTAGTAAAATTGCTTTCAGTGGTAGTGTAAAGCCTACATTGAACTTAGACATTTGTTTTAACCTCGCTGTGCTGTTTTACCTCAATAAAGTGTGATGTTTGTGTACACATAAATTATACATAGACCATAAATGATGTATGCACATATGCATAGCTTTAATTGAACAGTAAGACAATGTTATTTCATCCAACTAAGCTTGCCTTTAAAAAAATGCTTACCACAATGTCGTGAAGTTGAGAAAATATTACTGATGATGAGAAAACCTTGTATATTATGATTTCAATGGCCTCACTTTCATCTTCATAACCCTCAATAAAATAATAATCAACATAGTCCTTTGATTCTGTCTCATAAGGCTAGCGAGAAGAGCTGTAGCTGCAGAGAAAGCAGCTTACTCTCCCAGCGTGAACGCTCTTGGTGATTTGAGAGGTAGAAGGTCTGAGACAACCAGGCTCATCACCCAGCTCCGAGCAAAGGCAGAAGCGTGTGTTCACAGAGTCAAGGCTTCGTCTTCAACCAACAATGAAAAATAAATGAGACTGCTCTGCCCTTTCTCTGCTCCTCCATTCTCCTTGATGCCTACCCTTTTCTCCCATGTAGATTTTTAATACGAAGAGGGAAGGGGGGAAAGTATGCGGTGTGGGTTGGCAAACACCAGTTCCTCATTAGCTCTCTCTGGATCTTACACATCACAGAGATCACTCTGAACTCCGAAACCTGAAAAGAAACTTTGGTCCCACTTCTTTTTCATTTATTGGGAAGATTTAAAAGATGCTTCTTGAATTTTTTTTTTTTTTTGAAACAGCCCTCTACTGAGCAAGAGAGAGCAAACAGAGGTCTCCACCCAGCTTCCCTATTAATTAGCTGCTAAACCAAATATCTTATTCCTTTGGTGACTAGCATCTATTACCATTTAAAGAGAAAGGAAGCTATATTAGACTTCTCTAAGTTCCTTAATTTTGGACAATTCAGGAGTGTCTCATCACTCCTATTTTTAATTAGAAAAGGGCTTTTCAGAGCCCAATTTCTGAAGCCTGAAAGAGAACATGTGCATTGTATACATACAGAGAGGAGGAGAGACGGAGAGAAAGATCTCTGTCCACTGATTCACTCTCCAAGCAGCCACAACAGTCGGAGCTAAGCCATTCAGAAGCCAGGAGCACGGAGTTGGAGCCTCTTCCGGGTCTCCAATGCAGGTGCAGGAACCCAAGGCTTTGGGCCATCCTTGACTGCTTTCCCAGGCCACAAGCAGGGAGCTGGATGGGAAGCAGGGCTGCCGGGATTAGAACCGGTGCCCATATGGGATCCTGGCGCATGCCAGGCAAGGACTTTAGCTGCTAGGCTACCATGCCAGGTCCTGGGTACAAGTTCTTAAGAAGCTGCTGCTCCTCTGGCTGATAATCCTGGGTGCGCACAGGGAACCTGCTTCTGAGACTATAAAAAATTGGAGATAGGAATCAGCTGTTCTACCAAGGGCCAAATTTAAGAGGAATGACAAAGCAGGTCAACCAAAAGGGCAAAAATCCCTTTCTGTTTCCCCTCTATCATCCTTTCTATAACTGGTGATTTCTGTCAGTGGAACCAAATAAAAATTCTCAAGAAATGAAAATCTAAGGCTATCACCCCAGAATCCCTCAATAATAATACAAAGTTGGGTATTAAACAAACAATTGCTACAAACTGGTGTTATTTATCCTTTGGTTACTCAGTACCACAGAAACATTTTCGATGGTATTTATACTACTTCACAAGGTTAACATGTGGCTATTCTTGTTACTCATAAAAAAAATGCTTTCATCATTTGTCCTAAAAGGAAATATATAAAACAAAATCATTATTATATTAATCTCTGGTAATAATGATAAATTTCTAAGTGATGATATTTAATCTTCTAAAACAATCACTGTGCAAACCAAATACTGTTCTCTAAGAATTTGGCCAGAAAGTTATCTATGATAAAAAAAAAAGCCTTGGGCCCGGCGCGGTGGCGCAAGTGGTTAAAGGTCCTCGCCTTGCACGCCCGGGATCCCATATGGGCGCCGGTTCTAATCCCGGCAGCCCCGCTTCCCTTCCAGCTCCCTGCTTGTGGCCTGGGAAAGCAGTCGAGGACGGCCCAAAGCTTTGGGACCCTGCACCCGCGTGGGAGACCCGGAAGAGGCTCCTGGCTTCGGATTGGCATAGTATCGACCCGTTGCGCTCACTTGGGGAGTGAATCATCGGATGGAAGATCTTCCTCTCTGTCCTCTCTGTACATCCGCCTTTCCAATAACAAAATAATAAAAATAAATCTTTAAAAAAAAAAAGCCTCTACATAAAATACATAAGAGGAGAAAGGAGAAAAAAAGATTATTAAACTATATATAAATAGCAGCACACAAGCAAATATGTATTTGTTCTTCATACCTTAGTGAGAATTAGTGAGCAAAGAACAATTTACACATCGCTGCTGCTGTCCTTGTTTTTGTTATTAGTAACTTGATTGTATTTTACATTTATAGCTTCCTCCTTCTACATCCTTTTCTTCAAGGCAACATCTTAGCTAGAGGATTCATAAATCTTAACTTAGCAATGTTCCTGAAATGCCTTAATTCAAGAGTAAGTCTAGTTAAGTGAGAGCTTGTGAGAAAGGAACTAAAATGAGTTTATTCAGGTGCGAAACAAATTGAGAAATCTATGCATAATTTTTGTTTGTCATAATAGGCATTCACTGTGGCTTTTTCAAAAAGATCTATTTATTTACTTGAAAGGCATGACATCAGAGCGGGACACATTCATGGGCACGCGCGTACACACACACACACACACACACACACACACACACACACAGAGAGGTTTCATGCCCCAAATGGCCATAAGTGATAAGGCTCCGGCTGGGACTTTGACACAGGTGCTAGTGACCTAAGCACTTGAGTCACCATCTGCTGGTTTTCCAGGAATGTTAGTAGGGAGCTGGATTAGAAGTCAAGTCACTTAGACTTAATGCGAGCTGGGACTGAAAGCAGCTTAACACAAACCACTACAATGAAACCAACTCTGATGTTCTCTGAAGGCTCTTTGAATGCATGAAATCCAATTTCCTGGCACCAAAATAAGGTATTTTAAAATCTGTAAATTTTATCTGACAGGAGCATGCACATATAGAGAGAGCTTCTGTCAATTTCTCATCAGAGGCCCACAGTAGCCACCCCAAAGACAAAACTGGGGAGTCAGGAGATCAATGTAAGCCTTCCACGTAGGTAGCAGAAATCCTACTACCTTTGTCATCACCAGAGCTTCCCACAGTCTACATTAGCAGAAGCAAGAGCTACTGTGGTCTTGTATAGAGCTCATAGGCACAAATACGGGTTCTGTAACCCAAGTCTTAACTGCCAGGCTAAATACCTGCTCTAGAAACTTATATTAAATTCCATTTTCCACAAAATTTTTGATCTTCCCTCATAAAAGTTTCAGTCACATTTTCTTTCAGTTATTTTCCTGACTTAGCCCAAAATACACGCACAAACCACTCAAACATCCGATTTCTCGTAGGAAAGAATCTTGCAGCTACAAAAGAAGATGTTTTTGACTGACATGAAAACTCTTTGTCCTCTTATTTACACTGAAAATTTAACCTTTTCTGTCTGTAAATTCTCCAGACTCATCCAAGCCACAACCTTGCAGCTATTATTACTACTGCGGCAAATTCATGTAGAAGGCATTTGCTTGTGAGAGTGTCAAGTGGAAGTGATAAATTAACTGCTGTGACTTCATGTCACGAATTGCTACTGTGTCATTTTGCATTGGTAGCAAGATGAGTATTTCATTGAATGCCATGGACACTATTAAACATAATCCAGACTCTCACAGCATCTAGTTTAAACTGGGAGGTGGCGGTGAAGATGGGCCAAAATAAAAGACTGGCATAATCCTTGTGAGAAAAGATTGGAAAGGAGCTGAGACCCAGCCATTCATAAGGAGGCACTACCTGGGGCTGGAAGAGGTTGGTCCTGGGAATGCATTTAGATCTGAGAGGCAAACCAGCTCCTGTAGACAGACTGAAGCGTCAACATTAGGGCAGCCTTCACCTGCAGACAGCACTGCACTTGAATAAGGAAGTCCCTTCTGCTTACCTCTTTCACTTCCCTTCTATGTCTCCTATTCTCAAAACTGAGAGCAAGTATCTTAAAAGTAGGAATCGAAATGGCACAGATTAGCAACCGCATGACACAGAATGGTGGATGTGCCACTGACAGGCAATATCAGAATTATAAATAGACACGGGACTTCAACTCTGCTGGTGTCCAGTTGGAGCCCCAGGAAAGACTTCCTTGACAGCTGAATTTTAAGAGCCATAATGAGCTGTTGTGGAAGCAATCCAACAGTTTTTAATCATAAAGTACTTCCTGGCAAAAATCGATTTCCATAAGCTATATCAAATGTGTCTGCAAATATAAACTGTTAGAATGGTGTAAGTGATCATGCATTGTATCATAAATGCTGGCATTAAGCACTGATATAAAGTTGGTAAACCTAACTTGTAAAGTACTTTAAGTCAGATGCGTGAAGCTGTAATCATAGATGAACTTGAACTTGTTGATAAAAATGTCAGTACCTATTTTATTTGTGTGTCCTCTTATCACACCAAAACCAAAAGTACAAATATGATGTCCTGGTAATCAGATGAGCACACTTTTAAAGAGCTTCCCACAAAGTTTTTCTATTCAATTATGCATTATCGTCTAATAAAGTCCTTCACTCCTCTTTCAGGTATTCTAAAACTGTCTCAAAAAATTTTTTAATGACAGTTAGTTTTAAATCTTCCACAGTCTGCTCTACATCTATTTTTTTTTTCTGGCTGCATGTGTTGGTGAGCAGGTGATTAAAATTC